CAGCAACAGCAGCAGCAGCAGCAGCAGCACATGCAGGGGAAGCAGCAGGCCTTATAAAATGATTGAAATATTATTTAAAACAAAATTTATATAATTAAGAAATGCTGTTTCATTTCTAATGCAATAGGGGCCCCCCGGGGGCCCCCAGGGGGCCCCTCGGGGGGCCCCAGGGGGCCCCTCGGGGGGCCCCCTAGTGCCCTTAAGGACAGCTGCTGCAGCCCCAGTGCATGCACTGCAGCAGCAAACAACTCTGTGAAGAAAGCAAATAGAATTTAAAGTGGATTTTGCTGCTGTCTTTGCTGCAGCAGATGAGCAGCAGCAGTAACAGCAACAGCAGGAGCAGCAGCAGCCGCTGCTGCGGCAGCCAGAATCCTTAGCTGCTGCTGCTACGCAGCTGCAGGAGCAGCAGCAGCAGCAGCAGCTCAGCAGTGGGTGCCCTTTGTAGAGCTTCTTGCGGGGTGGACTCCCCCACTTGCTGCTGCTGTTGCTGCTGCTGCTTCCACCTCATTCGCTGCAGCAGCAACAGCAGCGGCAACAGCAGCAGCAACAGCAGCAGCACCAACAAGGGCAGCAGGCGTTCAAAAGTTATCAGGGGAGCTGCAGCAGGGCAGCAAAACAGCAGCAGCAGCAAAATGGACAGTCCAAAATACGAGAGCAGCAGCCTGGAGAGCAGCAGCGACAGCAGCAGCAGCAGCAGCAGCAGCAACAGCAGAGCCAGCAGCAGCAACAGCCTCATTTTGAATGAAGACAGCTATAGTTTCACTAGCTTCACAGGCTTAGGGGCGATGCCTGCTGCAGCAACAGCAGCAGCAACAGCAGCAGTATCAGCCACCCCAACGACCGCTACGCCAGCTGCAGCAGCAGCAGCAGCAGCACCGAAGGAAGCAGCAGCAACTGCTGCTTCTGCTTGTGGGGAGAAACTTTTATGTTCTCCCAGCAGCAGTCAGTTTGAGCTTGCAGCAGCAGCAGCAGCAGCAGCAGCTGGAGCAGCAGCAGCAGAAGCAGCTGCAGCAAATGTTGTACCAGACACAGCTGCAAGCAAAGGAGCTACAGCAGCTGAAATAGCAGCAGCAGCAGCAATACCAAGAGCTGCAGACCCAGCAGCAGCGGGAGCGGCAGCATATAATGATGCAGAAAAGGCAGTAGCAGCAGCAGCAGCAGCGGCATCAGCAGCAACAGCAGTGGCAGCAGCAACAGCAGAAACAGCAGCAGCATCAGCAAGAGACGCAGCAACATCCGACACTACAGCAGCAGTCACTGCAGCAGCAGAAGAAAAGGCAGAACTGGCAGCAAAAGCGGCAGCAGCAGCAGCAGAATTGAAAGTGGGCTTGATAAAGGAAGGAGCCGAGGCAGCAGCAGCAGCAGCAACGGCAGCAGCAGCAGCAGCAGCAAAAGCTCCGGCTGCAAAGGCAGAAGCAGCGGGCGCGATAGCGGCAGCAAAAGCGGATGAGGCAGCAGCAGAAGCAGTAAATGCCACAGCTGCAGCAATACAAAACTCAGCTGCAGCAGCAACAGCAGCAGCAGCGGCAGCAGAAGACCCAAGAGCAGCAGCAACAGTAGAGGCAATCGCACAGGCACCAAAAAACCTTGAAGCTGAGGCAGCACATGCAGCAGCAGGAGATGTAGCAGCAGCAGATGCAGCAGCAGCAGATGCAGCAGCAGCAGATGCAGCAGCGGCAGATGCAGCAGCAGTTGATGCAGCAGCAGAAGAGCGCGCAGCGGAAGATGCAGCAGCAGCAGATACAGCAGCAGCAGATGCAGCAGCAGTACATGCAGCAGCAGCAGGTGCAGCAGCAAAAGACGCCGCAGCGGAAGATGCAGCAGCAGCGGAAGATGCAGCAGCAGCAAATGGAGCAGCAGCGGAAACAACGGCAGCGGATGCACAGGCAGCTGAAGAAGCAGCAGCCGATGCAACAGCAGCAAATGAAGCAGCAGCAGCAGCAGCAGATGCAGAAACGGCAGCAGCAGCAGCAGGAGTAGCAGCAAGAGTAATGCACTGGGCAGCAGACGAAACGGAAGATGGTGCAGCAGCCACAGCAGCAGCAGTAGCAGCAACGACAGCAGCAGCAGCAGCTTGTCTTCCTGCAGTTGGTAAATTTTCTGGTGAGCAAAGCAGCGCAGCAAAAGCGCCGCCTGCAGCAGCAGCGACAGCAACAACCGCAGCAGCAGCAGCAGCAGCAGGACGAGGTTTCGATGCTGCACCAGGAGCTGCTGAAGAACTGGGCGGCATGCAACCTGCTGCTGATTTTGTTGCTGCTGCTGCTGCAGAAACAGCAGCACCAGAAAAATCCGCAGCAGCTGAGGATCTTCCGTCTGGCAGCGCGTGGCAGCAACAAATGCAGCAGCAGCAGCAGCAGCAGCAGCAGCGAAACCAGCCACAGCAGCAGCAAGCGAAGCAGGAGCAGCAGCAGAAGCAACTGCAACACCAACAGCAGCAGCACCTGCAGCACCAAAAGGAGCAGCAACTGCAGCACCAAAAGCAGCAGCTGCTGCTGCCTCCGATGCTGCAGCTGCTTGTTAAGGGGACGCTGCCTCCGAGCCCCCTCTACCATCAGCAGCAGCTTAGTGACACAGCAGCAGCAGCAGCAAGTGCAGCAGCAGCAGCAGCAAGATCGCGGGAAGAATTGCTCACTGCTGCTGGTTTCGACGTGTACAGCCAGAAGCAGCAGCAATTGCAGCAGCAGCAGCAACAGCAGCAAAAGCAGCAGCAGCAACACGGCGGCTCGTGGACGCTGCTGGGAAGGATGAGGGCACGTGCTGCAGCAGCAGCAGCAGCAGCAGAAAAGTGCAGCAGCAACTCGTGCATGCGTCTGCTGCTGCGCACTGTTGCTGCTGCTGAAGCAACAAGGGCCGCACCTGCTGCAGCAGGAGCCCGAGACATTGCTGCTGCTGCAGCAGCGACTACTGTTGCTGCTGCTGCACCTTCTGTTGCCGCTGCGGCTCACCAGGCTGCAGCAGCTGCTTCGAAGGAAGCAGCAGCCACGGCAGCTGCAGAGACGACAGCAGCAGCCAACGAAGCAGCAGCAGCAACAGCAGCAGCAGCAGCAGCAACTGCTGCTGCTGCTGCGTTCAAAGGAAAGTCCAAAAGGCCCTTCCGCCTGGATGCTGCATTTTTTGCCCCACCGTTCATTTCAGGCATATGCACAGCAGCAGCAGCAGCAGCAGCAGCACCTGCAGCAGCTGCAGGGTGGCCTGCAGCGGCAGCAGCAGCGGATGCTGCTGCTGCTGCTGCTGCAGCAGAAGATGTGGCTGCTGCAGCGGCTGCTGTGTGCGCCAGCGAGGCGCAGCAGCAGATGC